AAAAATAAGATCAAAAACAAGAGAAGAATTTCATTAAGATCATGGAAGAATTTCTAAGAAACGAAAGCCAGAATGCGAACTTCAAAATGATTATAACAAGAAGATGCATGAAGTAGAAAAAGCAGAAGAATCGGGATAAGGAAACCAGAAGAACTAACATACTAACGTCTGAAGGTTAACAAAATAAACAAAGGAAAGATATTGGACTAAAATGTACTTTGCCAATTAAACTGTTAATATCGTAAAAAKATTGGAAGTCGTTCGTGAACTGAGATATTTACTTACTTTGTTCTTCATTGCCATCACATGCCACTGAGAGAAGTTGTTTAACTGAGAGAATGAGTATCTGAACGGGATCTTCCTAAGATGTCACCTGCCTCAAATATTATCATGCTTTTATCTTCGTTCACCTGTCCAAAATCCAAGCGAATGATTGGCTAAAATCGATCACGTGATTTTGCTTTRTTTGGGGATAACACATAAAAATTGTGTGTTATTGGAAGATTTAATGATTTGAGAGATGAAAATATCTTAAGAATGATCAGGAATCAATACAATCAAGCACGAAAAGACAATTTAATCGGAGTGTGTCGGTTTCAAGGACATTTTAGGTCTTTATTGCGCAAAGTTTTGAATTCCGAAAAATTRTTTTGGACGTAGTTGAGCATGCTTTAAGGATTGAAATCTTTTATGCTGTTAATATGTTCAATTCTTTTCACCCCAGAAAGGGATTTAGTGCAAGGGGTCCATACGTTAATTCRCACAGTATCTCCAGTTTTGCATAAAAGATGAAAAACTATTGTATCCATTCACACTTCAAGCTGGAGTGCTTTGCGTTCCGCAACTAGGACTCATGGGAAAAAAATAGAGCTAGTTGAGGGACAAGAGTAAGTACTACTTATAACATATACATTTAATAACTGAATAAGAAATACTAAAATTAATGTTTGAACTTAATTCAAATTTCTCATATCCAAAACTACGTTCAGCAGGGGACATCGCTATAGCGACATTTAGAATAGCTTTTCTTTTCTCATGCAAAACTGGGGACACTGTGCGAACGTCAGTATATAGATATAATATTTGAGGCAGGTGACATCTTAAGATCATTGTTGCCGATTCCTTCACATGATACATTCAACGTTGACAGAACTAGAACCTGGAAGGCGTACTTTTGTATCCATTTATACTTCAAGCTAGGGTGCTTTGCGCTCGTAGTTTTCCACTGCCCATCCCTACTGGTGATTAGATTGTCTTAATTTTGTCTGCCAAATTTGGAGAAAATCTATCAAGTAGTTGCGCGGCAAAAAAGGCCGAAGACCAAAGCATAAAAATAGGGCAATCGAAATATTTTCTTCAAATTCGGCAGACAGAATTATGACAATCTCAGTATTTACCAAGAATCTGAAGTTTCATGGGTCGATTTTTAAGCGAACGGGAGGACAATATTGTGAATACTTAGATTAGCAACATGTAAATTACCCTTAGCTAAATGGGTTTCCTGTAATCCATCCAGTCACAGTCCATAATTGTGCCTCATCGCCGCTTACTTAGCTGGAATGGGCATTCGGCCTATTCTCTGGGCTGATCTAAGCCATAACATGGCGAACTCAACTCAAATTGAATCGGAATTTAATAGCTTGTTAGGTTTTTCGGAGGGAGGAAAGTAAGAGAAACCCTCGAATCAAAGGAGATACTTAACATGAAACTCTAGTCGGCCAGGTGTTTTTTTTAAAGTAAGGAAAGATACTTACCCAAGGGCAGGTTAAAGTGTCACCGATAAACATTACTGTTTAATGCCCTTGACCCCTGAAAAAA